CGATATCCCCAGGGTCGTCCTCGAGCGTCACGCGCAGTGCGCCGAGATTGGCGATGCCATCACGCCCCTTGACGCTGCGATCGCCGAGAAGGAAGCGGCGCTCGAGGCAGCGATCACGGCCGACGACTACGACAGCTTGGAGACCCACGGCGAGGCCATCGAGGCCCTGCGCCGTCAAAGGAGCGCGCTCGAACTCGAGCTCTTTGGCCATTTCAGCGTCATTGCGCACCACAGTCCGCTCGTCCGACGCCTTGTGCAAGCACTCTCGGCAGTGTGAGCCACATGCATAACGTTGACAGGAAATCGCGTATCTATCGTATGATGCATCTAGCTACTGATCCGACACGATACCTGGCAGTAGAAAGACTTGCACAGAGTGATAACCTTTCTCAAGGAGTGGGTGGCTTTTAGAAAAGCCAGGTTGTTGTGTGATGGCGAGACCGCGGCGTGCGACATCGTCGGCCGAGTGCAAGGGACATTTAATAGTCCTGCGACGCCGAGGACTTGGTCTTCTTCTCCTTGACGGGCGTCGTCGTCGGCGCCGTCTTCTTGGGGAGGAGGATGTTGTGGATGTTGGGGAGCACACCGCCCGACGCGATCGTCACGTCGCCGAGGAGCTTGTTGAGCTCTTCGTCGTTGCGGACCGCGAGCTGGATGTGGCGCGGGATGATACGCGACTTCTTGTTGTCGCGAGCGGCGTTGCCAGCAAGCTCGAGGATTTCGGCGCAGAGGTACTCGAGGACGGCGGCGAGGTAGACCGGCGCACCGCCACCGATGCGCTGGGCGAAGCGGCCCTTCTTGAGGAAGCGGGCGACACGACCGACCGGGAACTGGAGGCCGGCCTTCGACGAGCGCGACGAAGCCTTGCCCTTGGCACCGCGGCCACCCGTAGCTTTACCCTTGCCAGACATGTCTTGAGGACTGCGAATTCAGAAATGAATTGGGCTTAGAGGCGAATCCGCAGAAGTATTCCGCCAATCATGGCTCGATGTGTCAGAACACCGCCAATTAAATCATGTTATTCCACGCTGACCAATGAGATCGCGTCATTGTGGGCCCAGCCATTGAAACCCATCCGAAACGGATATCAAATCGCGGGAGAGGGAAGCGCGGGAAAACCCCAGCACTTGTCCGGCCCAACGTAAGAGCGCATGAGAGAAGAGAGGCGGAATGAGCTAGCATGGGCTAGCTCAAGCTGTGCACCAACGATCTTTGTAGCACGGCGTTGCAACCTTGCGGCAGCAGCTATGCCCGAACTGTCGGTTTGCATTTGGAGTTAAAGTGACCTCGATGGTGTTGGGAGTACAGCCGTCTCCTTAATCTGGTGGTTGGTCTCTGATGCTGGCCAAGACAGCTTCTGCGTCTCAGCAACGAACTGGGATTTCGGACCTTGGCCCTTAGTATTCAGGTCAATAATGGTTGAATTCGCTGGCGCTGCTACAAGTGAACAAGTTAACAAGTTTGTACGTAGTTGAGATGACAGAAACCCCAGCCCAACTTGAACTAATATTAACGGACGCCATCCGTCAACACGATCCAAAAGCAGGCGCCGACCACCCGTACTAGGAACGATGGCCCCGTAATGATAATGAGAGCCATCCATGCGAGTGTGGAGTTCGCTGCCAGCAGCAGCAGCACAGTGCGTTGAGTCTGGCGCTGCGGAACGCCACAGCATGCTTATCTCGACCACTTCAAGAGCACTATTCGTGTGCAATGCACGTCTGCTACTGCGCTCGAACCCACCAGCAGTGATGAAAGAACAATTGCAGCATTTCCCGAGCCCCAGACCCCGCTGCTGCTGCCCTCGTCGCGTGTTGTCGTCGCCATCCTTCCCGCCCTGCTCACACGTGACGCACTAGTCAGTGGTGCCGCCACGTGGGTTCGCAGCACGCACTTGAGAGGATCAAATAGATTCCTCGCATTGAATCCACATACAAATTACGAGCAATACAATACGAAAAACCAGTGCGCCAACTGTACAGGCGTTAGTGACAGCCGCCTGTCGCTCGGCAGAGGCAGCAAGCCGGTGGTCGGCGGCGCGCCGGCACTAAGGCAGCCACGCACGCAAGCCGTTCTCAGTAGGGTGGATGGCGCACACGCCAGCATGCGTTGCCGGCTTGCCTGTGTGCATCGAATGAATTTGCGTGCATTTAGCGAGGTCACAAGGGCCCGCCATCTGCTTTGGCGCCGGTTCGAATTGGCCGCCACGTGGGTCGACGGAGACAGCGCACCGCGCTACATACAGATGAGCGCATACTAGCCAGCATCTCATTCTACAATTCACCATGAAGCTCTTCCTCGCCCTCGCCCTCGCGGTACTCGTTGCTGCCAACGAAGACTGCGCCTGCCTCGACGGTCAGTGCCAGAGCGGCAAGTGCGTCGGCTGCAACATGCAGAGCGCTGAAGGCGGCTACTGCTTCAACGACGTCGACAAGGACAGCTGCGTCGCATGGGGCAAGCCGTACGTGGCGTGCTACCTCGACTCGCCAGACACGCCGACCGAGAGCCCGACCGCCGCGCCGACCGAAGAGCCGTCGAGCGACCCCAGCCCGGCGCCGTCCGACGAGCCCTCAGATGCACCGACGGAGGCGCCCACTGACGATTGCGCCTGCATTGACGGTCAGTGCAACAACAACCAGTGCGTCGGCTGCAACATGCAGAGCGCCGAAGGCGGCTACTGCTTCAGCGACGTCGACAAGGATAGTTGCGTCGCATGGGGCACGCCCTATGTGGCGTGCTACCTTGATGGCCCAGCGCCCAAGCCGGGCCCGTCTCCTACGGTGGCTCCCACCAAGAAGCCCAGCGTAGCCCCGACGGAGAAGCCTTCCGACGAGCCCTCGGACGAGCCTTCTGATGAGCCTTCTGATGAGCCTTCTGATGAGCCTTCTGATGAGCCTTCTGATGAACCCTCGGATGAGCCTTCGGATGACCCTTCCGACGAGCCCTCGGACGAGCCCTCTGATGAGCCTTCTGATGAACCCTCGGACGAGCCTTCCGACGATCCCTCGGATGAGCCTTCAGATGAGCCTTCTGATGAACCTTCCGACGAACCTTCGGATGAGCCTTCGGATGAACCTTCCGACGAGCCCTCGGATGAGCCTTCCGACGAACCCTCGGACAAGCCTTCGGATGAACCTTCCGACGAGCCCTCGGATGAGCCTTCCGACGAACCCTCGGACAAGCCTTCGGATGCGCCAACAGACGCGCCGACTGGTGACTGCTCGTGCACGGATGGCCAGTGCAACAACAACAAGTGCGTCGGCTGCAACATGCTCGGCAGTGATGGCGGCTTCTGCTTCAACGACGTCGACAAGGACAGCTGCGTCGCATGGGGTCAGCCGTACGTAGCGTGCTACCTCGACACGCCCTCGCAGCAACCGACGCCCGCCCCGACGCCTGCCCCAAGCTCTGACCCGACCTTTGCCCCGACCTCAGCCCCGTCGTCCAATGACTGCGTCTGCCTCGACGGCGACGGGTGCCAAAACGACGTCTGTGTCGGCTGCAACATGCAAGATCCGCACAACGCCGGCAACTACTGCTTCAGTGACGTGACCCAAGACAACTGCGTCGGGTGGGGCAAGCCGTTTACGTGGTGTGCGTCGTCGCGGTAGTGTGTCTACTTACATAATCATGTTTTCCTTGTGTCCTCCATTGTGCTAGCGTGTAATGACTGCATCACGGCGCGGGCTCGGAGGATGGCTAGCGCTTCTTCGCACACGAGGACGCGGTGCACGAGGGCACGAACTACGTCGTCGTCCAAGAAGTCGGCAATATTGTCCATCGGGTCGTCGTTCTCTGTCTGCCGGACATCATCCTCGCGCGTTTGCAGCGATTCGGTCTTGGGCGCCACCTCGGGAGGAATTGGCGGCTCGATGGGAAGAGTTGGCGGCTCGATGGGAAGGGCTGGCGGCTCCTCGTGAGGGGCAGACGGCCAATCTGGAAGAGGTCGTGCTTCCACCAACTCAGATGCACTTGTTGGTGCAGGTGCGGGCTCGGCCCAAGACACCACCACACTGGTCACGAGATCGTCCATGATCGAGGCCAGCTCCGTCGGCGCAGTCTCATCGCGCGCAATGGTTTCCTGGGCTGGTGAATCCAGATGCGCCGCGTCCACCCGCCGTGTGGGCTCCACAACCAGCTTGCCAAACGCGATGCCACGTCGCGGTGGCCGTGGCGGTAGAGCATCAGTGAGTGGCGCGATCGAGCTCGTTGGCAGCTCCCGCGGAGAGACAAGGGGCACAATCGACGCCGTGTCGGGTGCTACTTGCTGGTCGATCTCGATCACGTGGTGTGCGACTTGCTGGCTGGTCTCGATCGCGTCTTCTACGTCTTCTCGAGTCGGCGTCGGTGCATCGAGGCCGTGTGGAGTGTCAAGTGACCGGACCCGAGGCGAACCCAGAGGCGACCTGGGGGCTAGGACCGTTGCTGCTGGTAGCTCGCAATCGTCGGCAACGATCGTGGAGGGTGCGACACGCTGCGGCTCTTTGACAAAAGGATCGACGACGTGCAAGCAAGTGGAGGACGGCAAGACCGTCGGCTCGGGAGCGTCGAGCTGCATGTAGTCGTCGATGGCCTGGCTCCAGTCGGGGAACGTGAGCGGAGCGTTCCACTCTACCTGCTGACGCGCAGGGTCAAAGCTCGATAGCCCGAGCCGTTGCCGCAGACGCTGGATCGTTACTTCTGGGTCTTCGATCAGTACCTCTTCTGGACGCACGTACCACTGCGGCCCCACTGTGTCTGTCAAGCTGCTCGCAACAGAGATGGCTTCGAGGTCGTCGCGGCGGCTGCTGAGCGACATGCTGTCGTCGTGCTTTGGAGATGAGAGCGGCGACAGGCTAGCCCATGGGTCTTGCTCGGCGTACGATGCTTTCTCTTCCTGCTCGTTATATGGCGCCTTGTCCTCGTGCTCGCCTTGGCCTAGGCTCCTGCTGTCGTCGTGCAGCGTCTTGTCGCTCGCGGCTGGCGACGCTGGTGGGCTCGGTGGCTCGGAAAAAACCACCGAGTGCTCTTGGCGTTGATCTTCTGCTGGCTCTTCTTCTTCAAGATCGTCGTCGGTCTCCATGTGGCTGGCCAACTCGCTAGCTCTTGATGGCGACGCAGCGTCGGCGATGGCTTCGAGCCGATGCTCCTCGCCCTCCTTCTCGTCGGCGATCCACCAGAACTCGCGCTTGGACGCATCTCTCGAGCGCGCTCTCTCTTGCCGCGACGTTGCCGGGCCGCGGAAGCGTTCAATGTACGCGGCAATCGTCGATCGGTCTCCGCGCTTGGCCATGGCGCAGGATCCGCTTTGATCCGCCAGAAAACCTTGATATAAGAACAGAAACCTTATAACGAGTAGTAACTGGCAGCAGGTCTCATTTTTGCGATCGTCAGAAAAGCCAGCCAGGAGTTCCAGCCCGACGTCGCCCGTGCTTGGATGCAGCGCCCGTACTGGACCCCAGGAGCGACCAAGAGTGCGGTGACTACCAAGGAAGACGGAGCCAAGCCAGCGGCGCCAGTGAAGACGACTGTTGCACCGCTTGCAGCCGTGCAACGAAAGGTGCCATTGACTACACCCCCACGCGCACAAACGCAAGTAGCGGCGACGACCGAGCCGCCAAGCCTCGTCAAGCAGCTGCTCAGAGCCTGCAAGATCGTTCGCCAGCCGATGGCACCCAAACCAGTGGCTCCTGTCACCGTGACCAAGACAGTGCAAGGTGCGATAATGCAAGCCAAGCCAAGCTCCGACACCGTGCGGGGCCATGTACAGCGGCGCAGCACCGCCACGAGAGTGATTTCAGCACCCAAAGCCCGACTGCAACCAGCCATCGTCAAGTTACCCATCAAGCGTCAGCCGACGAGCCTGCCCATGCGCGAGCGTCTCTGGCGCTTGATCGATGTCAATGGAATCGACAGTCTCGTAACTTCAAGCGCTGCGTACGATTGCACAAAGCAGTGCGCCTTTATCTGGACCAAGCCCACACGTCGATCGACCTGTGACGGCCCTAGCCAGGGTCAAGGGTCCACGGAAACCGAGATCATGTGGTGCATGCTCACCCGCCGCGTCCCGGTGCAGCACTCGCCCTCGCTCTCGAGCAAGGTCCTCACGCGCCGCAGTCCGTGGTGGGTCTCGTACCCACAAAAGATCCTCTGCAACACCAAGTATCGCCTCCACCACAGCTTCCAGTCGCTCGCCCCCGACGTTCTCCTTGCCCTTGGGTACTTTTACCCGCGTCCGAAAGCTCGTCGTCTGCGCTTGGCATGAATCACCGTCGCATCACTTTATTCGGCCTACTCGTTTGTAGCTGGCGCAGCACGCGGCTCGTATCTAGCACTGTAATCTTATGATCTATTTGAACATCCATGAGGATGCCACGTATGGCCGGCCTTTCCAGCGACTAGGGCAGCGTAGCTATAGCACCTGAATAGGCCGATGCATTGCTCCCAGACTCATGCAGAAGTTTCCAACCATCCAAGGGTCGTCCGAGTCGCGGCCGCTTGAACCGTCGCCGCCTGTCGCTTTTATCAACACTCTTCCCTGAGGCATCTTTATCCGGAAACGCCGGATACGAAGCAGAATGTTGGTACCTTCGCTTGCGGCGCCTGACAATCAAAAGCCAAGCGACGACACCGGAAGCATCCGAGAAGCATGGCGCTGTACGTGTGGGGCAAGACCTGCGGCATGAACGACACGACGGTGAGCGACAAGGAGCGCTCCGTGTACTACCCGGTACGGCCCACGGCTTGAATACGACATCAACATCTGACGGGCGCCGTAGAGCACTTTGGTGGCAGCGTCATCACCGACTTCGCCGCCGGCGAAAACCATGCGCTCGCCGTGACCGAGTTTGGGGACGTGTACTCGTGGTATGCTCGCTCTTGGCGGCGCTGTCTTCACGGGCGGTAGGGGTCGAGGCAACGACGGCGAACTCGGGCATGGTGACCGCGCGGCGCTGACAACGCCGCAGCGCATCAAGGGCCTCGAAGACCAGATCGTGACCAACGTGGCATGCGGCAACGTGCACTCCGTCGTAGCATATAAGCTGTCTTTGCATGTGACTCAGGCGCATATCGCACTAGGCGGCCACGATCTCGGGTCAAGTGTACATGTGGGGTCTCTTGCACGACCCCGACCAGCCGAGCGAGCCAACGTCCAGCGCTGCCTCGGGCATGCTACACGGCCTCACGCCTGCCGCGCCCATCGATACGACGCTGGCGCCGGAGCTCACGTTTTTCCAGCGCATCGTGCAGGACGCCGAGTCGCGTTTCACCGAGGGCGAGAACCAAGTCTCCGACTACGAGCAAGGTCCGACATGATCATTCCTGTCGATACTACACTATTCGCTCACACTGCGTTCTATCTAGGCATGAACAAAGTGTCTCTTGTACGTGAATAGCTCGCTGCTCGCGTCCATCATGCGCTGGCGCTTAGTTTCGCAGTCGGCAGACGCTGCCGCGGCTCTGCACGTCGCTTGTGGGGCATGTCATCACGAAAGTCGTGGCAGGCTTTGGTCACAGCATGGCCATTGATTCGTGCGGTCAAGCGTACAGCTGTGGCTACAACGAGCACGGACAAGTACGTACTACGAACTCGACATCTCTCGCGTTCTCACACCGTGCTAGCTTGGCCTCAACCACGTTCGCATCATGACCGAGTTTACCAAGGTTGGAGAGCGCTCTTCCGTCAGCAACCGACGCTTTGTAGATACCAGCGTTTGCAGGCTCCTTTGTCAAGGACATTGCGTGCGGCCAGCAGCACAACCTCGCGCTCGTCGTCTCGTCGCCCATGCTGGGCAGCGTCGCGCAGTGTTATACGTGGGGCTTGGGGTGCGTTCTCGCACGAGGCTCTGGCTGGCTTATGGCTTATTACTAGCGCCTTGGGACAGCTCGGCCACGGCACGCGCCGTTCGCTCATGGTACAATCAATACATGCGGGTGAGGTAATCGTACATCGCTTGACGCGCGCGTAGGAGCCGGAGCTCGTGACGGGCCTCCCCGAGCCGATTATTGGCGTTGCGGCGGTGCGACATGGACTTGCTTTGCGGCACGCTGAGGCCCGCGTAGGGCAGTCACCACAGCGTCGCCGTCGATGAAACTGGTGCTGTGTACACATGGGGCCACAGCGAATACGGCCAAGTACGTGTTTCTTGACGGCGTGCCCACGCTAGTACCATGCCAATAGCACGGTGTCGCCTTTAACGGCCGGGATTTGTACGACAACCGCAAGTATTTTGTACCGGTCAAGCACGAGTCTCTCATCGACATCGTCTCGGTCACGTGCGGTGCGTCGACGTCGTCGTTGGCGGCAGCTTACATCGCGTAGGCTCGCACTTTACGCTGGCGACGGATGTGCACGGAGTCTTGCACTCGTGGGGCTGGAACGCGTACGAGGCGTCTCTCGATGCGGCGTCATTTCATGTGGGCGTAGGTTTGGCGTCCTTGGCACGGGCTTCTTCCAGGGCTACACGTTGCCGCAGCCACTCGACCACCTCCGCGGCCTCTCGCTCTGCCACACGCGCGTATGCTCTCTGCGCCACGTACAAAAAGAGTCATTTGAGGACCCATAGGCGGGCTACAACCTCTGCGGTGCGATCGTGCAGTACCTCGGGCTGCCGTACGCGATGGGCTTTCGGTCGCTTCTTGCCTCGGGCGCGGTACGTGCTGCCTGGACATGCCAGTCGAAAACTGCGGCGTAGTGTTCCGACGTCTCGGTGGCGCTCAAGGACACGGTGGTTCGTCCCACGCTCGCTTTGGAAGAAAGGCGACGACGGAGCTCATCGTGCGGAGTAGATCCCATTGCACAAGGTGTTTCTCCAGGCGCGCTGCCCGCAGCTGTATGGCTACATCCGCGCGGCCATCGCATACGGCGACGCACCGTCGGGGGTCGAAGGCCTCGACCTCCCGGGCCTCGATGCGTCCGTATGCACATACTAGTATGCAGCAGCGAATTGATGGACTCTGCGCGCTATGGACTAGATCTTGAAGGCGCTTCTGACGTACCTGTACGCCGACCGGCTCGAGGTCGCTCCGCACAAGCTTGCGGCGCTGCGCTCGGTCGCAGAAGCCCTCGGTCTCGTACGTCGTTGTTGTTGTTGTGGGTTGCATTTCATCGTCGGATGGCGTAGACGGACCTCGTCGCGCGCTGCGTGCACCACCGCAAGCAGCGCGGCCAGGCGGCGCCCGAGCCCTCGTCGGTCTTTAGCCGCGATATGGCGACCGTCGTTCTCGATGCCACGGACGCCGACGTCTGTTTCCTCTGGGACGGCGCGCGGCTGCCGGCGCACAAGGCGCTCCTGAGCACGATCCCGTACTTTGAGAGCATGTTCTCCGGTCGGTTCCGTGACGTCGGCGACACAGTCTCGCTCGCCGACATGGCCGGCGACGGCTTGGACGTCGACACGTTCAAGCGCGCGCTTCACTGGCTCTACACGGGCGACCGCACGATGCTCCAGACGCTCGACCTGGACCAAGGTAGAGTCTCCTCCTTTCTCGAGATGATGCGATGGACGCGTGCCACGTAGTCGTCGAGCTCGTGGTCATGGCCAACCTCTTGGGTATCGAGAGCCTCGTCAACGTCTGCACGCTCCAGCTCTCGGCGCTCGTGGCCAACGATCCCACAGACGACCTCCTCGCACTCTGCTGGGACGTCGCCGACCGGTACGTGTGCCATCTCGGTAGCGAAACGACACATCTTCCCGATCTTTAGCTTGGATCTCCAGCGCCTCAAGTCGCAGTGCCGAGTGCTTCTGGACGCCGCCAAGTAGACGACAACCACGGCCGCCATCATCCCACGATGTAAATGGCTTTTCACATGCTCGTTCCTTGATCCTACTCTATGACTCTTGCGCGCGTGCCATGGGGATTACAGGTCACGAGAGGGTTGGTCCAGCAAGCACAGTTGTATCCTATGGCTAAGGACCATGTTCACACACCGACCTTGTCACGAGGTGATCATAGGGATATAATGTACAGGGATGTCATTTCGTAGGGAGATGGGTGGTGTTTAAAAACACCAAATTGAGGGAGGCCATGTTGCCATGGCCAAGCAAATGCGCGAACGCTCATCGCTGGATGCTTTACGCCGACGACGTGAACTTGGTCACGGCCTTCGTGCCTTCCGAGACGGCGTGCTTGGCAAGCTCACCGGGGAGCATGAGGCGCACGGCGGTCTGGATCTCACGCGACGACAAGGTCGACTTCTTGTTGTAGCGCGAGAGCTTGCCGGCTTCGGACGCAATGCGCTCGAAGATGTCGTTGATGAACGAGTTCATGATCGACATGCCACGCTTGGAGATACCGGTCTCCGGGTGGACCTGCTTGAGCACCTTGTAGATGTACGTCGAGTACGATTCCACGCGCTTGCCCTTCTTGGCCTTGCCCTTCTCGCCCGTCTTCTTCGGGGCCTTGGCGGACTTCTTGCTCGGGGTCTTGGCCATCTTGCTGGTTCGAATGGAAATTCAAAAATGAGGCTAACCGGCCGCCAGCCCACACGCCGGATACGAAAGCACGCTCGGCGGTTCCCGCCCTCTGTTATCCGGACTGGCCAGACACGACGTTGGAGCTTTTTGCGCGAGGCGCGAAATACGCGCATTTGATTGGCCATGTGGGATAAGAAGTCTCTGATTGGCGGAATACTTCTGGCACGGCCGCCGCCCGACATCGCTCATTGAAGATTTTGATCTCTACAACACAAGCACAAGATGTCTGGCAAGGGTAAAGCTACGGGTGGCCGCGGTGCCAAGGGCAAGGCTTCGTCGCGCTCGTCGAAGGCCGGCCTCCAGTTCCCGGTCGGTCGTGTCGCCCGCTTCCTCAAGAAGGGCCGCTTCGCCCAGCGCATCGGTGGCGGTGCTCCGGTCTACCTCGCCGCCGTCCTCGAGTACCTCTGCGCCGAAATCCTCGAGCTTGCCGGCAACGCCGCTCGCGACATCAGCGTCATCCAGGCCATGCTTGCTCGACTGCACGCGCTTGGCAACTGGCAACTGGCCAACTGGAATCTGACCAACTGGGGCAACTGGCCTTCTTCTCATTGGCTGTAATTCAGCCAATCCAACGGCATCTCGATCTTACTTGACCAGCATGCCACGACATAGCTCAAGGAGAAGAAGACCAAGTCCTCGGCGTCGCAGGACTATTAAACGTCCCTTGCACTCGGCAGACCCACAACAGCCTGGCTTTTCTAAAAGCCACCCACTCCTTGAGAAAGGTTATCAATCATCGTCGGTAGCGACAGTGGTAGAAATTATCTTGACCAGTCGGCCGCACCAGACCGAGCGGTGCATTATCATAGCAGTTGCGGAAAGCTGCAGGGAATTCTTCCATCAGAGCTTAGACTGGCGAGATGCTTGTCGTCCACGTGTCACCCCAGGTTGCACTGATTTCCGCGTCGAGGGTTGAGCGTTCCATGCTGCACCAACTCGTTCTTATCTCGAGGGATCTAAGCACTACAGTCTGCTCTGAGCGATGCACAGGCAACTTCTTTAGCACGCAGTCGCACACTTGGATTCAACACACAAATCTTAACGGCAGACTTCGATGAGGTCGCGGAGCTTGCCGCCGTCACGGAGGCTCTGGAGGGCAGCCGCGCCGCCGACAAAGGTCGAATTGATCCAGACGCTGGGCACCGTGTTGAGACCGGAGAGGCCCACGATCGCGTTGTAGACGTCTGTGCCCGACGGGTGCCCGGCGCTCGTGTCGACGTGGACAACGTCGGTGGTCTTGGCGCCTGCACTGCGCAGCGTCGTGACCGCCGCGTCGCAGAGCGGGCAGTTGGCAACGCGAAACACCGTGCACTTCGCTGTGATCTTGCGCACGTACGCGACCATCGCGTCGGACGGCGCTCGCAGAAACGGCGCCACAAAGTTCTTGGCCTGGGCCACGCGGGCGTAAACACCAGGGACGCCGTCTTGGCCGCAGCCGACGCCCCAGCTCACGAGGCCGACGAGCACCTCGCGCCCCGCATCGACCGTGGTAAGAGGGCCGCCCGAGTCGCCTTGGCATGCGTCCTGTCCCTGGAGCCCCCCCGCGCAGCCCATGGAGCTGTCGACGACCGCAAATTGCTTGGCGCAGGATTCTTGCGACCACATGCGCAGCGTCACTTGCTGGAGCGCGTCGGCCTGCTTGCCGCCCCAGGACGTCGTGCCCCATCCGCGTGCGATCACGGTCATGTTGGTGAACGCGTCGGCGTCGGCGTCCCACGCCACGGACAGCGGTGCGATCGAGCTCTCCTTGGCGAGCTCGAGGAGGCCAAAGTCGAAGCTGTTGGTGCCAGGGTTGAACTTGGGATGCCGCGTCTCGCGTACGACGGAGATGCGCTCGCCGTCCTTGGCGCCGGTCACATAGTGCGACCCGACCGACGCCACTTTGATGGCGCCGTTGCAGCAGTGCGCGGCCGTCAAGACGTACTTGGGCGCGATGAGGATGCCGCCGCAGAGATTGGTGCCGGTCTCATCGGCGCGGAGCCCGACCGTGTAGAGGAACTTGCCCACCGGCGCCTCGTTGCCGCCCGTGATGCCGGGTGAAATCGTGGGCTTGGACCACGCGCATGGCAAGAGCATACAAGAAGCAAACCGCCACAACACACGCATAACGAATTGAATAGTGGCGCCAACCCCAATGATCGATTCGCTTAATCGAACGGACGTGTCGAACGCGCGATCCAGCGCAATCTGGCAGAACTCGTTGTTGCCGTCAGATGCGTCTTCGTCCAGACGACCTGCGTGACACTCGGAGTGCTTTCATCCCTCGAGACCTCTGCCTCGACACGGCGCTGCTGTGGGGCGTTGTGCGTCCTACGAGCGCGCACGGCCCGTGCTCGTGCTTGTAGCCTCGCATGGCTGCTGTCTACGAGTAGTATGAGTGTAACTGGAGAGCACTTGGTTTGCCTGCGGTTCCAGCGCATCGTTCTTTTGCCCTTGGCAATGTCACCTCGACCGCGTGTACCCTAAACGACAAGCAGCATCCAGCTCGCTGTTTCGCACGCGTTCGAAGCGGCGCCAAGAGGTACGCACGTCACGAAACGGCAACGTCAATGTGGATTTGGATCGTCTGCCGCGAGCGCCCGACGCCCGTCCCCATCACCCAGACGACGTTGCCGACGCAGCCATTTGGACGGCCGCGCCGTGGCCCGTCGCAGAGCCACTTGCCGTTTTTGGTCGTGTAGAAATGCGAGTGGCCTGCGCTGTCCATGCGACTTGCACGAATATGCTGCAAGATGCACACAGCATCGCCGACGAGGACCGAAGCGTCGGTGAGGGCTGCAGCGACAAGCTTCCTCGATCGTCTGGCTCCGTCAAGCGGCCATCCCATCGTCTTCGCACTGTACCACATGGCGGTGGCTGCGTGGGACACGCGGGTTCCCGTCAATGGAAGCCATTTCATTTCGGCGTTCTGGCCTACGACGAGGGCTTTTGCGTGAGGTCCAAAGTCGTCATGGGATCGGTTTCGACCAGCACGAGACTTAGAGGCAATGCTACGTTGGTCGACGCCGATGGCGGGCGCGATGCAAGACTGGGCGTGATGCGGCTGTAGAGGTGGCCACTTGCATTCTGAGCCTGGCCTAATTAGGCCGAGGAGGTCTTGGACATGGCGGCCATCTGGCGCTGGTTTTACACGTCAGGTTTCCTGATAACCTCTCGCATTGGCCTATTACTCACATACAGTTTCCAAGACGCCTCTCTTCATGGAAGCCTACGACGACGACGACCATCCCCGCAGCCCCTCGGACGACGACGAGGCCACGGAGCCGAAGCGCCGCAAGACCAAGGACGCGGACGATGACCACTCGAGTGGTGGCGACCACCGCAAGCTCAAGAACCGCGAGGCCG